AGACAGTTTATGTTTTGGTTTTGCTTTGTATGTAGACTTAAATATCTTATTTCTGGAAAATGCTTTGTAATTATATTTCTCCAAATACATCTTCTATTTTTTTCATTACTCTTTGTCAAATATGGCTTGGTCTATTCATGCATATACATATGTCTATCAAATCTATTTCATTTCCATAGCTGTCATGTTTTCTTTCTAATTCTGTTAAAGTGTTAATTCCCATCTTGTTTTGTTAACTTTATCGTGTTCTTAAGCCCACTTTTATTTTTCATTTTGAGTAAAGTTTGTTTAACTTTATGTTGCCTCTAATGGCCCCCTTATTTCTGTGATGACAGTATGTTTCTCCCCCATTTCATTCCTGAGCTCTTTCAGTTGTCTTGACATTTCTTCCTTGAGCTCTTCTTTTATATAAGTGACCTTTTTCATTAAGTTTTGTTGTTATTATTTTTGTCTTTTCTCATTTGCTTGGCAGTTTCCTTGAGCTCTATGGCAACACAATCTGGTTATGTGTTCTTTGTTTTCTCTAATCAATACCCCCTTTTCTTGCAGTATCTTTGTAGAACTCTTCTGACGGTTTCTTTTTTATTCTGACTCATATTTGTGACAAGCTTATTCTTAACCAGCTATTTTACAAAATGTTTATGGTGCTGGGACCAGGCCATGATGCCATCTAGCAGAAGTCTCTTTCACTTACAGGGTGCACCTTATGATACACATGTATATGTGTATATCTTGATTTAATCCTGACTTCTTCCCAGAAGAAAGAAGAAATTGGAAGTTGCAAGACTGATTAGTATTGAACCTATCTGTTACAATCTGCCTTCCTATCAGGCTTCTTCCTGAAGAGATGGCTCTCCCCTGCTTCTAGATGGAGCCAACGATGATCCCGGGATTCTCACAGTCAGTCCATTCTCCATAGACCAGTATTTCCCAAAAAATGATGTTGGTTCTGCCCCTTTGATAAAATCTTCTCTGCCAGCCTTGTTTGAGGTCCTCAGCAGCAGACAACTTTCAACATCTATCTGTCCCTGGTTGAAATATCATTGTATTTAAAAGCCCTTCCTCAAGAAACATAAAGTTTGCATTTCTGCTTCTCATTTTCCTTGTCATTTTGGAATGAATTCAGAAAGTCTTAACACTGCCATCTTAAAAGCAGAAGTCCCTTAAAAGGTTGCAAAGCCCTGTTTTCCTCCCTCTGAATCTCCTGCACCTAATACTATACCTGGGGAAAAGAAGATACTCAATAAATACTTATTCAATGGAATGATGAGTGAAAGAATGAACAATTTTCAAATGTAATAGCTGAGACATAACTACATTTAAGGCCTCTTTTCAAAAGAGCTTCAACAACTAATACTCCTGGTTTTGCCTTGCAACAGCACGAGGTAGATTTCCCATGGTTCAAAGTTCTCCTGCTCACTTTTCTCCCATCTTTCATTATATTTTCTTAGAATCCTGCTGTCACTCACTATCTGAGCCAAGTCAGAGCACCTGGTACATGTGAAACAGTGAATTCTGTGAGAAAATTTTATATAGAGAGTTTTATTTTTCTTTCTTGTCTGGTATTTGGCTTTAGTTTTTATGGATACATTTTAAATTTGTTTCTCCTTGGCTTCCTTCTAATATTGGAAAACTTGTGTATCTTCTTTATCATGAATCATCAGAAAGATAAAGGCAGAATGATTTCAACCTGCACCCGTTTTGATAAGGAATGTAGATAATTGTTTGCATTTCCCTCAGCAACAGGGTCCCACAAGGGTCAGGGCTCTGTCCAGATGCAGCCAGGAGGAAGGAACCTTTGAGAAGGAGAACAACAAAGATATAAACACTCATTTCAGTCCGTGTGAATTCCACAAGAGTCTTCAACATGCATGTGACCCAAGTAAAGATCAGCTGTTGAGTCCAGGTTTCTTTCAGAGCCTTTGACTCAGGAATATACTCCTAAGTCCCTTCAGTGAGAACCAGCAATATGTCACAGACTATTTGCCTTCCATATGGAACGTAATAGGCACTCGAGAATTAATGTGTTAATTTCTTATTTTCCTTAGATTAAAACAAACAAAAAAAAAAAACTTGTCCTACTCACTCAAAACACTTCAGTGTCTAACCCCAGACAAGATTCCTCAATTCTTTTAGAGATCTTCAAGGATAGTTTCCTTTCTTTTTTCTCTTTGTCTTGAGTCTCTCAAACTCCTCCAACTTATTTAGGCTAAGTACCCTTCTCATTGTTATGTTGCACATGTCAACAGACATGAAGTCCACAGACAAGTCAATGGCCCATGGAGTGCCTATGCTGGCTGGCAAGGTTTAGAAGGTAGGACAGTAAAAAGAGGCAAACTACAATCCATATTAGTATTCCTTACAAAATCACGATAACTAGACGTCTCTGCCCATAGCCAGGGATATCAATGCTCTTTCATCTGGACATTCATTGATATTACCCTACAGCCCATATCACCAAAACAGAACTCCCTTTTATGTGCTTGAAAATCTGTGTTCATTCCCACTCTAGCCCTATGTGGGTTTTCCATTGGGGGCACCTAGCATCCTTGTCTGTCCAGAACAGTCCCAGTTTGCCTAGTGTCTTGTCCAGTTAAGCATTTGTCCCTGTCAAAAGTGCTTTTTGTATGATAAATTATATGCTCTTCTTAGTTTAATTTAATGCTTAATTTTCAAAAGGCAGCATGAGCCAGATTGCCTATGGTTATAAGAAATGTTTTAATTCCTACCTTTGTAGAAGATTAGGACTCACCAAGACAATGAGACAGGCAGGGACCTGAAGTCCAGGCACAGGCAGGTGATCAGGAAAAAGTTGACACCACCAGGGTGGCCAGACAGGCTCAGAAAAGTTTTGCAAGAATCTTGAGAGAAAAATCTATCCCAAAGATTAGGGGGGAGAGTCTGGTCTTCAGACTCAAGGGAAATATTTTGGGGTAATACAATCCCAAGGTAGAAAGAAGAGAATTTTTTAAGGAGGAGCATTTTACATGGCCCTATTTCCTCTCTCTTTGCTCCTGAACATTTGGCCAGTGATTTCTCTCTATTTCATTTATGGCAATAACTTCAGGTCTTGTATGTGGTCATAATAGTGATCTATGTATGCCATCTACAGCAGGCATGGATAATGAATCCTATTTTATTTCTTAATTAAGAAATTGAAAGTGCCGCAAATTACTGCAATTAACATGGATTTTCTTCCTCGTTTATTTACTTATTTAAATGCCTAAAATTGTATCCTAAGTTTAAACCAACCACAGGGTTCAGAGCCTATTAAAATATATAGCATTCATTAAAATATTTATTCTTCTCCAACAGTGAACTTGTAATTTGGAAATGGTAGTGATATCTTTGTTTGTGAAATCCTTCTCCCAAAATATATATCTATTGAATTCAAACCATCCATCTTGGTAATTTTAAAAGTTGAATTTATTGCCATTATTTGTGTAACTAAAATAAGCTAAGATTTTCAAAAAATCCTGTGTTATGTTGACCTTAACCAGTATTGTTGTTTTCCTTGTAAGTCCTTGAGGATATGAGCATCCCCATGTTTTCAGAAATTCAATGTTCACTGAAAGATAACAATTACAATATGAGGGTGGTTGAAGACATCTAACTGTTTCAAAACAATAGTATTTTGAATAAACTATTTAGCTTCAAATTATCTCGTACTTTTGAAGATTCAACCTTGGTCTTTATTCTTGGGTTTTTGTATTTGTATTTGGTTTTGTTTCTAACTGGTTTGCAAGGAGACAGAGCTCAAAACACAGTGGTGGAAACTAACCAAAAATATGCTTCAGAAACACAAATCCTTTGGTGTGGGTCAGCAGCCATGAGAAACAACACCCAACAGGGGTATAAATGGGTATGGTTTTACCAGAAAGCAACTGGGAAATAACATGTCAAAAACCTTAAAAGATGCAAACCCTTTTAAGTTCAGCTATTCCACTTCAAGAATTTAGAAAAGAATGAAGACTGTGCCAAGGTTTAGCTAACAATTACATTCATGGCAGCCCTGTTTATTAACAAATAAAATAGGTAAAATAAAATACCAAAATAAGCAGCAATAAAAAGGATTGAGTAAATTATAGTACAACCTTACATTAGAATAACAAACAGCTATTAAAAACTAAGTGGTTTGTATTAGGTATCAATGGCTACATTACTCTAAAACTTAGCAGATTAAAACAGTAAACATATATCTTCTCAGTTTCTGTGGGTCAGGGATCTATAACCATGGCTGAGCTGGATCCCATGACTCACAGCCTCTCAGAAGCTACAGTCAAGGTGTTTTAATCATCTCTAGGCTTAACTTGGAGAGGATCCACTTTCATGTTCACTCAAGTGGATTGGTTGTTGGTAGGATTCAGTTCCCCTGGCCTGTCGGTTGAAGGTCTCTCTCAGTTCCTTGCCTTGGTTTCACTGCCTTATTTTCTAGAGAGCAGCTCATGATGTAGCAGTTGGCTTAATCATAGAAATCAGACTAGAGCTGACATCCCATCACTCTTGTTATGTTCTATTGGTTTGGAATAAGTCAGAAGTCCAGCTCATACTCCAGGGGAGTAGATTATACAATGTGAGAATATGAGCAAGCAGAGATCATTGGGGACATCTTAGAAATCATCTACCACAAGCTGAAGTTTATTTATGACAAAATATTTTCATAATATCTTATTCAATAAAAGAAAAGCAGATCACAAAGTAGTATGTGCCGTATGGTCCCAGTTTTGTAAATTAAAAACAGTAGGAAAACATATATCTATATACATAAATGTTCATGAAATAGTCTGTAAGAGTTTCATGGGTTAATGGTGGTTATTTCTGGGTGATAGTATAACAGATAAGTTTTAAGTCCTATTTCCTAAACTATATTTTCTGATGTTTTCTAAAACAAGCATGTATTGTTTACAATTTTTAAAAAGATTAAATGTTATTAAATTAAAAAACAAAGCAATTACTCTATACTTCATGTTTCTGACCTCCATCCATATCTATCTTTACAGCACTACTTCTTGCTTACTACCTGAAGTCAACCAAATAGAAGTTCACAGGACCCTTCATAGAATCCATTGATCGCACCGTGACCAAGGACATTGTGAGTACATTCTAGAACTTACTGCTGTGTTTGTGTCTTCTAAAACAATTATTATCACCAAAAATACTACCATGGAAAACATTATTTTTCCCTCTGAGGTCACTAGAACCACAACTATGATTGACATGAGAGAACTGAGTCCTCCCTTGAGCCAGTGTCATCCAGACTCAATTCTGGTTACTTCCAGACCACAAGCTAGCATCACCACATGGCCACCTTCCCTGTAGAATTCCAAAAGGATAGTTTCTATTTGTGTGTCAAAAATAGATGAACAGATCTGGCACTGCTGAACATATTTATAAATTTGAAAAAGAAGAAGGGATGGGTGAGTGAGAAGATAAATTCATTTATAATCCCCACACTTCATTACTTTTCTGTGCAATGCCACCAGGAGGGCCTGAGTTGGGATGCCACTGGTTCGGGGTGGGAATAACTTCTCTAGCAATGTAAATGATATTTTAAGGTTGCTTACTTATGAAACTACTGTTTTTTCAAACATAGATTTTTGGTTGTTTGATAAGTAGACAGCTGATTTATGCCAATATAAGAACGCAACAGAAGCTGGTTAGGATAGGTGAGCTGGTATTAATGGTGGAGAAGGCAATGGTTTCCAAGATGGCAGGGGATTAAAATCAGGTCTGAAATACTGGTGGATCTTTTTTCCATTGTGGTGTATGGTACAATAGCTGGTCTGAAAGCTAACACTTGGTGGTTTAATATTACCAAACCAAACAGTGTCTGTCTACTGGACACAAGGCAGAGCCAAACACAGAACACTGAGTATTTCAGAGGTGAAATTAAAGGAATTCATTTGCAGTGCCAGGCTTGAAGGTGAGCTAGTGATCAAGATCCGAATTCCTCAATGGTTTGTAATCATTGGTTTTAAAAGCAGAGTTTGAGGGTTAGGGCTTAGAAGTCAAGGGCAAGGCTGATTAGTTAACTCTTGTGTAAGCTTCATTCGTTTTCTTTGGTCTGATTAATTCAGTTCCTGATGTCATCTTGTCTGATGCCTTTATTGCTGTGATCAGATGATCTAACCAAGTTGAGGAACCAAGAATAACTCATAATTGTGTGATAGCGATGCTCTGTCTAAAAGCAAAAGGCAGCAACTAGACATCTAGTGACCTTTGTTATTGTTTTAAGTTATTGTTTTGTGCTTAACTAGCTATGTATTATTATTATTATTATTATTATTATTATTGCAAGCAAAGTGTATGTTAAAACATTTTTTCTGGGACTTGTTCACAGGCAGGCCTATGACTAACATACTTTCTTAACCTTTGACTGTAAACTACATGACAATCAAAGCAACTGAAACATTTAGTTAAAGCCTATGCCTATATCTCTGGATTCTTGATCTAATACCTAAACATGCTTACTGTTAGCTGCTGGTTTCACTAACAATAGAGCACATTTCCCTCACATAAGTCCCAAATGGGTGTTTGTCTAAGTGTTTATCAGCAATCCAGGTGCCTCCTATCTTGTGGCTTCGCTGTCTTCTAAAGTCTCTGAGTTTTATTCCGGATATTCTGCATCCGCTTGGTTTACAAGAAAGGAGAGTAAAGATGCCACGCCCACTTCCTATCAACCTGGTGTACAGCCAACACACATCACATTTCATTGGAGAGAACTAGTCACATGGGCCTCACTTTGATGAAAGAGGCCTTGGGTTAGTCATTGGCTGGCAGTAATTTCCCAACAACTCCCCTCTGTGGCTGGGGAAAATACATCATGGGCTCTGTCAGGAAAAGTCATAGTGTTAAAAAGTTCTTGCTGAGAAAATTCTTGGTGAGATTCATACATTAATCACAGAACAAGGATTAGTTGACTTTATCAATTACTCTGAATAATAAATCTTTCTGCCCCACTCTGAAGGGATTTCTAATACCAATCTCTCATGCCTAAGGCAATAAGCCACTGATAATAGGGCTTTAAAGATTCAAGGTTGTTCTACATTGAAAGAGCCAGGTATGTCTTCCAATTCTGAAAATCCACCATTGTCAATGGAATCTCAAGATATCAGCCTTCAAATGTGTGTGTGTGTCTCTCTCTAAGCCTTAGTTTCTTGTTATACTAAGATCCTATGAATGACAAGAATAGGATCTAACTCACAGGGTTGATGTGAAGCCCCAAATAAATAATCATAGTATGCATTAACTCAACACATGGGAGTCTTCTCCAGCAGGTATCCTTATATGATGAATATTCTCAGAAATGCCTGCCCTACCAACACTGTAACAATTGCTGGTTCTTATAATATCATTTTTACTATTAAGCTATAATTATGATGATTAGCACTACATCAAATAATAAAAATCACTTTTCTACATTGATTTATATTTAAATATTTGACTCTCATCTCATGACACCATCATCAAGTAGGAAACAGACTCACATTATCATACCCATTTCATATGTCAGAGAACTGAGCGTCGTGGAGGATCAGTGTTAATGAGCAAGATCCCATTATAGTTCAGTCATAGTTGCCATTTGACTCTTAAACCTACGTCTTTTAAGTCAAGATGATACTACCACACCAAATTTAAACTGAGACCTTGGGGAAAAATTGAATCATTGAGGAGGCATAGTCTCAACCCCCTCATTGTTCAGATGAACTGGAGATGCCTTTGGAGGATTTTTCTGTTTTATACCACTCCTCTCAGGCTGTCTTATCTCCTTTATGATTAGTCAGTCTAATTGCACCTCGGTCAGGGGTGGGGAGGAAGGGCAAGTAGTGGTGGTATTGGTAATGTCATGTTACATAAGCCATAAAATGTGCAGGGCTCGTGGACATTACTCCAGAAAACATGAGTTGCTTGGGGCCCCAGAAGAAGGAAAAGTGGGCACTTTTTCTCTATTCTGGCATATTGGAGACATCTCTGGTCAACATCACCAACCTTAGGGAGGCAAGTGACAGGAATCCACATCTAGATTTTTTAGGGGTTTTTGTTGTTGTTGTTGTTGTTGTTGTTGTTTGTCCTACATTCAACTTGTAGGCCTTTTCCTGATAACTTTAATGACTAATTCTTTAATGACTTTATTATTTCCATTGAGAGAAAAAACAATTTCTGGTATCCTTGTGTTTGCAATACAAGGTCTTTGGAGATCATATTTGACCCTGTGTTGGGTGATTCCAACTGCCAATTGCAATGTGCTATAATGGACATGGGTCTTAATGTAGAGAGCAGCCCTCAGGCCCAGACCTGCAGCTGACTGTTGTGTTATCATGAAGGTTCTTTAGATTCTATAGGCCACAAATCTGTCAAATCAGGTGGATGATGTATTGTACACCCTAGTCACCTCCCCCACTTTCTGGTGGAAATCCTGGGTTCAAACAAGGAAATAGAAAGTGCTTGGAGAAGCGTAGCATGCTAGAGAAATGCATCAGAGAGTCATCATTATCACTGTACTATTGCCATTATTATTTTGTGGTCAGCTCAGCTTTTCTTAACACAGAGAAGTTAAAGAAGTGGCAACTGTATTGGTTTCTCAGTAGGAAGGAGAAGGGGCCAAATAAGGCGTAGTTTTTATCCCATTTTAATGTCCAGTTGTGTTTTCTTTTTCAAAACAGCTATGTCTAAACAGTTCATAAGTACTTTAATTACAGTGGCATTTCATTATACTTAACCCTAACAAAAAATGGGCTAAGTAAAAAAATTTCTTTAATGGTGTATTTCCCTAAAGGCTGAGTTAACTTTCATCAGCAACCAGAATACTACTACCTTTGATCTCACCTCTAAACTTGGTACCTATAATTTTGAATGAATTATTTAACAAATGTAAACAATTGTAATTGTACCTGCAAGTCCACTAATAGAGAGAAAATGACAAAACCCATTAGTCATCAGGCTTTGGTTCATAAATTGTCCATTAGCTGAAATACATTTTTTCCTATGGCCATAAGGAGTTATGGAAATAGAAAATTTAAAAATCAATAGTGGCATACTGGGAGAGCTATACAAAGAGAAAGAATATGTGTCACCTCTAGCCCTGGTACATGGCCATTCTGTTGCTTCCTGCAGCATCTCACATACTCTTGCCTCAGTAGGTGAACACCTACCTCATTCAAAGGATAAAATAAATATTATAAAGTAGAGAAGTTAGAAGGGGTTTTGCAAACTTAAATCCCAAAGTAACCATTTTACAGATAAGAAAACTAAGGCTTATGTTGAAATATTCAAGGTTATACAAATGAGCACTTATTAAGATGACACCTAAAAGTGTATATTAGTTTTATATTGTTATAACAAATTACCACAATTTTAGTGGCTTAAAGCAACATAAATTTACTATATTACAGTTCTGTAGGAAACAAGCCTTATATGGGTCTCATTGGCCTAAAACTGAAGAATTGATTGTGTTAAAGTCTCTTCTGGAGACTCTGGAAGAATCCATTTCCTAGCCCTTTCCAGCTTTTAGAAACGCCTGCATTCCTTAGCTTGTGGCCCCTTCCTCCATCTTCAAAGCTAACAATGTTGCCTCTCTCTGATCTTTTTTCTGAAGTCACATCTTTAACCACAGCCCTGACAGGAAATTGATCACCAATAGGGGGCATTCAGGAGGCAGCCAATCAATGATTCTCTCATCGATGTTTCTCTCTCTCTCTCTCCCTCTCCCTTTTTCTCTGAAATCAATTAAAATATATATCTTTAAAAAGCAATAAATGAAATAAATGTTATTTGGCCTAAGCCCAAGTCTGATTTTGGCACAGGAGCAAAAGATGTTCTAGTCATCTGAATAGCAAGGAAGAAAAAGATGGCAAGGCATTGCCGTATGTTCACTCCTAGGGAAGTCCTGTCACAGAACATCAGGGCTGACCTTAATATTCATCTTAATGGAAAGGTATCTGCAAGGAGGGTACAATGACTCATTTGTTTCCATCTTTGAACTCTCCTTCTTCCCAGCCTCCCAAAGGTTCTCTCTCTTGAGTCACTGCTGAGCCCAGCCTCTGTACTAGAATAGCTCTGATTGTCCAAACAGACATCAGGAACACCACACCA